ATCGGAAGTGGGTGGTGGGAGTATTTAAGATTGAGAAGTTACAGAAAAAGTGTTGACTACAAAAAAGAGTTAGAGACGTGGTGTATGTAATAATTTTTAACAGTTCTGATGTGTTACAAAACTTACTAAAGTTGTCAAACTTCACTCGTAACTACTCTAATAGTTGAGGATTAAGGGAAGTATTTCTGGTCAATGTTCAGCTCCAAGGGATCAAAGTAAACCAAACTTTATAGGGGAAGAAGACTCTCTAATACAATCCTCTTTTTTTAAGATTTGAAGTGTCGTACCTTTTGTGTCTGCAAATAATAATAATTTTTTAAAAATAGGTGGTTGAAAAGAAAACTAAACCATACATTCAAGTTGATATTGGAGGTGGCCAAACAAAGACATTTGCTCCTGAAGAAATATCTGCTATGGTTCTCACTAAAATGAAGGAAACCGCTGAGGCTTACTTGGGAAAGAAGGTAAGTGTCTCCAGAACAGTGTTAAGTAATTTTATTAATACTATTCTTGATTGATTATGTTGTATAAACGTCTTCATTGTTTTAACAGTTTGAATCTGAATGACAACCATGTGTATCGGCTTTAATTACTTCTATGCTTTCCTGTAGGCCAAACAAAATACTAGGAACTTTTCCCCAGGTTTAAAACTATATATTATGCCCATCTTACAAATATGCTGGCTTAGAAATTAAAGTAATGGTTTGATTATAACTTAAGTAAGGGTAAAGCTATGTGATAAAATACACTTAATTATAATTACTTTTTGTTACCTTTTTAGGTTACCCATGCAGTTGTCACTGTACCAGCCTATTTCAACGATGCCCAACGCCAGGCAACCAAAGATGCCGGAACTATTGCTGGATTGAATGTTATGAGGATCATCAATGAGCCGTAAGTGTTCCATTCAAAAAGGTATGACATATTTGCTAAGTAAGGAAAATGTAAACTTAACTGAGCTTTTTCTTTTCCTCCTTATTTTCGTAACAGTACAGCAGCTGCTATTGCTTATGGCCTGGATAAGAGGGAAGGGGAGAAGAACATCCTGGTGTTTGACCTGGGTGGTGGAACCTTTGATGTGTCTCTTCTCACCATTGATAATGGTGTCTTCGAAGTAGTGGCCACTAATGGTGATACTCATCTGGGTGGAGAAGACTTTGACCAGCGTGTCATGGAACACTTTATCAAGCTCTACAAAAAGAAGACTGGCAAAGACGTTAGGAAAGACAATAGAGCTGTGCAGAAACTCCGACGTGAGGTAGAAAAGGCCAAACGGGCCCTGTCTTCTCAACATCAAGCAAGAATTGAAATTGAATCTTTCTATGAAGGAGAAGACTTCTCTGAAACCCTGACTCGGGCCAAATTCGAAGAGCTAAACATGGTATGTTCCTTGTTTTTTGCTTTGCTAAAGAGATCTAGATTCTCTTGAGTTTGGGACATTGCATTTAGATGTCTAGACAATATCTCAGTATAACAGGCATCATCATCACAGTAATTAATATCTCTTATTCTAGGACCTGTTTCGTTCTACCATGAAGCCTGTCCAGAAAGTGCTGGAAGATTCTGATTTGAAGAAGTCTGATATTGATGAAATTGTTCTTGTTGGTGGCTCTACTCGAATCCCAAAGATTCAACAACTGGTTAAAGAGTTCTTCAATGGCAAGGAGCCATCCCGTGGCATAAACCCCGATGAGGCCGTAGCATACGGTGCTGCTGTCCAGGCTGGTGTGCTCTCTGGCGATCAAGATACAGGTAGGTCAATGTCATGAGCATCTTCCACACTGCTTCAGCAGCTTGATGGGAAGAATATAATTAGCTGTTGCTTTAGAAAGCAATATAAATGAGCAGCAAGGTCACACAGGTACTAAAGGATACTGGGAGGTCAAGACATGGTATAGTTTCAAGATCCTTAGCAAGTATAGAGAGATTGCTTGGTGGTGCTCCTATGACTCTTTCATTAGAGCTTATCTCTGTATTACCTTTGCAGGTGATCTGGTATTGCTTGATGTATGTCCCCTTACGCTTGGTATTGAAACTGTGGGAGGTGTCATGACCAAACTGATTCCAAGGAACACTGTGGTGCCCACCAAGAAGTCACAGATATTTTCTACAGCCTCTGATAATCAGCCAACTGTTACAATCAAGGTTTATGAAGGTAATTGCTTACATTTGCTAATACCATGGTGTGTGTTAACAGCATGACTTCTTGCTTAATATACTTTGTCAGTATACTCTGTCAAAAAAACCTAGGGAAAGAAATACTTGATTTTTTTCAGATGTGGGTTTCTTATTTTGTCTAGTGTTGTGTTTGGTATAGTTAGCATTAAAGTCCAGTTCCTACCTAGCTACCTTAGCACTCCTTCCCATTAAAAATAATTTTTGAGCTAGCTCTAGAATACTAGAACAAAAAGGGTTTGTGTAAAGTAGATGAGAAACAGTCGAGTTCATAGTAACTTAACTGTTAGTCTCATTTGTTGCTCCTTACAGACCAGTGACCCACTTCTAGCTTGATGAGAGTGCCCTTTGCCACTAGGCTCTAAGAGACTGAAATGGAGGTATCTAGGTATACTGCTTTTCAGTAGCTACTAATGAGGTTTTTGTGTACAACTTCTAGGTGAACGACCCCTGACGAAAGACAATCACCTTCTGGGAACGTTTGATCTGACTGGAATTCCTCCTGCTCCCCGTGGGGTCCCACAGATTGAAGTCACCTTTGAGATAGATGTGAATGGCATTCTCCGAGTGACAGCTGAAGACAAAGGTACGGGCAACAAAAATAAGATCACAATTACCAATGACCAAAATCGCCTGACACCTGAAGAAATTGAAAGGATGGTTAATGATGCAGAGAAGTTTGCTGAAGAAGACAAAAAGCTCAAGGAGCGCATTGATACTAGAAATGAATTGGAAAGTTATGCCTATTCGCTAAAGAATCAGATCGGAGATAAAGAAAAGCTGGGAGGTAAACTTTCCTCAGAAGATAAGGAGACCATGGAAAAAGCTGTGGAGGAAAAAATTGAATGGCTGGAAAGTCACCAAGATGCTGACATTGAAGATTTCAAAGCTAAAAAGAAGGAACTAGAAGAAATTGTTCAGCCAATTATCAGCAAACTCTATGGAAGTGCAGGCCCTCCCCCAACTGGCGAAGAAGAATCAGCAGACAAAGATGAGTTGTAGACACTGTTCTGCTAGTGCTGTAATATTGTAAATACTGGACTCAGGAACTTTCGTTAGGAGAAAATTGAGAGAACTTAAGTCTCGAATATAATTGGAATCTTCACCTCAGAGTGGAGTTGAAAATGCTATAGCCCAAGTGGCTGTTTACTGCTTTTCATTAGCAGTTGCTCACATGTCTTGGGGTGGGGGGAGAGGAGAAATTGGCTATCTTGCGCGTGCTCACCATGGAAACGTTCTATTTAACAATTGGGTCATGTGCATCTGGTGTAGGAACTTTATTTTCTACCATAAGTGACACCAATAAATGTTTGTTATTTACACTGGTCTGATTTTGTGTGCTAAGCCTTCTAATTATTAGGTCATTTATTTTGAGATTAAATTCTCGTGGGGGAGGGGTTTTGAGGTAAGGAAACATTTCTATTCAATACTCTTTAAGAATTTGCCTAACTTTAAAGAAGAGGTGGGAGGTTCATCCATATTCTCACTTAGACAAGGGCCATTTCACAGTGCCCTAGAGTGGAGTTTTCTTAAACATATTTGAAATTTTCTATTTCCCCTTATCTTTCTGAAACTGGTGAGTTTTTTTAACATTTATATTTTAATGTTTTAAATTTTTAAATAATTGTTAAATTACAGTTGTCAGCATTCCCCCGCTTACTATCCCTGGCCCTACCCATCCCCCACCTCCCATATTTCGTCCTCCCCCTGGTGGCTTTTTATTACTAATGATGCTTTATGGCTGCTTGAATTTTGAAGACCTGACAGAGATGGGTCATATATTAATTTTATTCCCTCGGATTCAGTTCATCGTTTTAGAGTGTAAAAGTATGTTTTGAACCTCTATAAAAATACCCACCTCTCAAATTTCTTAATACCAAGTTGTACTAGGATGGGATTGAGGATGGTGACCAAACTACATTAAGCCCCACTGCAATTTGTGGGTCAAAGACGGTCATTTGTGCCAAGACAGGTTTAAGGCCACTTGGATTGGCTTCCTGAGGAAAGGCGGTCTAGGTGGATATAGGGTGCAGGTTATCTGGTGCTATGAAATCCAGTATGACCCAAGGATAGCTATTTTTCAGATGGGCAATGGCTGAAAGAATGCTAACGCGTAGAACTGGTACCTGATAGCATGATTCTGTTACTGTGAGGCCCAGACCTGTGCTGCAATGCCCAGAATCATTTGGACAGGCCTGGAGTAATATTTGATCATCAGGCCAAGTTGAATACGAACATTAAAAATCACATGCAATGCTGTATGCAGTGGGTTTACAGGTAGGTGGGAACGACAAGGGCCAGTCTTCTGCCTTGTCCCAAAGCTCTCACTACCAAATGCCAATAGTCTGCGCCTCTTTCTGAGGAGCAGCTATTGATTATTAAGACAAATAAGCCTTGGCCAGGTAGTTCAGTTGTTTACAGTGACTGATACACCAAGGTTGTGGGTTCGATCCCAGGTCAGGGCAATGGGTGCGTAATTAAGTGGGATGACAAGTTGACATTTCTTTTCCTTTCTCAAAACAAAAACAAAAAACTTGAACCTGTAAATAACCACTCCCTGATTTCTACAGCTTATGTCTAGCAATTATGATTCCTTGACATTTTGTGATTAGTATCTTTACCAACCACACTCACCTAGGTTGTATTGTTAGTAAAACCCTTTACATAATTGAGGTTTTTGCACTGGGCTATCCAGTTCATTTGCTCATCTACTAAAGTAGGTAAGAGCAAGACAGTTATACAGAAAATATTTTGGAAGTATAAATCAGCTAAAGTGTCAATGAACTTTTCTGAAAGTAATTTGACTTAAAAAACAAAAATGCGGGTTTTATTAGTCAACTACAGTCACGATACAATCATCATAGACTTCCCCTTCTGTATTCATCCCACCGAACACAAAGCAGAGCAGTGAGTCAGTCTGACTTTTCTCATGTGAGTCACCACCTTGGGTCACTCCTTTGTCAGTGGAATCCCCTTTCTCAGATTGACAGTTTAGAGCGACAGGATTTGAATCTTCTTCCTCAGAAGTGCACATCACTGGCCATGGAATGATACACATGGAATGGTCCAATCGTCCAGGGGGTAGAAAAGTATCAAATTTAAGTAAGGTCCAATGCTGCTTTTCTGTGTTGGGGGAGGGGGAAGAAACAAACCAAAAAAGCTCTGTGTTAGCAAATTTCCAGAAATGCTCAGTGATTTGCTTTATCTCCTGAGCCTTAAAAGAAATAGGAAATAAAAAGAACAACAAAAAAATAATGGCTGTCTTACTGATTCGATGATGTCATTCCCTAAAAATTTGGTTTTCATTCCCTTGGATTTAGATGCAGAAGGACCAAACCGAAAAACCAAAGCACTGTGGTACTTTTCACAAAAACAGTCACATTTGTTTGTAGAGACCCACAGGGAACACCTGCTCACCTATGTGATATTGGTACATTGTGTCCAGTGCTCCTGTGGGAGTCATCCCTCCGAAAATGTACAGGTGTTTCCCGACAGCCACAGCTGAGTGGGCAGCACAGCCTGGGGGAGCTGTCCCAGTGGGACTTAGTTTCTGCCACTTCATGTCACCTGCCAGGAGAAAGACACTGGGCATACTATGGCCTGGAATGTGGTTTCGAACCTATCTCAGATTCCTGCAGTTCACAAACCAATCACTGAACGTCATTGACTAGGAGCTCTCTCTCGAGGTAATTCAGCAAGGTTAGGGTGTATAGAAATTAATTAGGGGAACTTGAAATCTTGTTTGGGTCGTCTACAGAAGGAGGAATCTGTAGTTTTTTATTTTTTAGTTTTATTTAGTTTTAGAGAGAGGGGAAGGGAGGGAGAAAGAGGGAAACATCGACGTGAAAAAAACATTATTGGTTGCCTCTTACATGCCCCCAAATGGGAACGGGTAACTCAGGCATGTGCCCTGACTGGGAATTGAACCGGCGACCTTTAGGTTTGCAGGCAGGCACTCAGTCCACTTAGTCACACCAGCCAGGGCATCCCAGGTGATTCTGATGTAGATGGTCTTCAGAGCACACTAAGGAAGGTGATACTACCTTTGGTGACCATCACTATTAGCTATTTTGGAGCCCATAGGTAGGTAAGTTTTCATGTATGTGCACGTGTGTGCATGTTTTAAATGCTAACAGTTCTTTAGAAAGCAACTTTGAGAAAAGAGATGTCTGAGATCCCACAGCTAACAAGTAGCAGAGTTAGACTTGTATTCAGGTCTGACCCCAAAACCTGTGTTTTCTATACTGTAACTTGCTGCCTCAGCACCTACTCCCAACCTATTTCTGCAGGGATATTTGCATCTTTTCAAACACGCATTTAAATGAGGCAGGATATCACTGGATATTAGGTTTAGAGAACTATGTGCATTAAAAAGAGGAAGTAGTTCCTCAGCACAAAAGGACTTTTCTTTTTGAAAATAAGCATTCAAACCTCTTTTGACTGCCTATAAGAAATGCTTCTGTGAAGATTTTTCACCTGTCAATTCAAGGCAGGGGTCCAGAGTTAAAAGGGGAAAATCACCCAGGCCAGCCAAAATTCTAGCCACTGCAGGATTGGTCCCAGCCAGTGTCACCTGGCCTCAGTTGTTACCAAATCAGAGAACCCATCGTTTGGCAAGGTAGCTGGATACACTGCCCAGCACTTCTCATGCCTTCTGCCCACTGTTCCAATCCCTGTAGCCTGGGCCAACCCAGAACAAGTTCATTTGTTCGTCCCTCCAGCCCCTAACAGGCATGCACTCATCACACACAACCTGCCAGACACTGTGCTAAGTGCTAGACATACAATAGGGAACAAAAGAGACGAAGTCCCTGCTCTAAGGGAGCTCACAGTCTGAAAGAACGACCCGGGATGAGTCTGGGCTCTCCAGGGCATGTCAGCCCTTCAGACACTTTAAGACAATTCTCATGTTGTTTTCTCTAACTTTCCTCTTCCAAGTGTTTTTCAACTATGTAGCATGATAGTTCTGGTCGCCCACCTCCAGACACACCCTAGAAGTTGTCCATGCCTCTCCTGGGCATGGAGTTAATGGCTAATGTCTGAAAGAAATCCAGCTGGGGAACACAAAGTATAATGAATTTTAATGAAAGTGCCGGTTTGTTGCAAGAGGAAGAGATAATAGCTAGGTACATAGCAAATGCTCAGGAAACAACTGCTTTTATTGTTATTATTTATCATTGGTAGTATTCAGGCCATATTTGACAGACTCTAGTGAAGATTCTGCTGGCTGGTCAACTTACCTACACCTAAGATCAAGGCTATATCAAAGCACATTCTCTTTAATTTTAAGCAGATAAGCCCCCATGCCCTCTGCCCAACTTACTGATATCAATGCAATGAAGATCATCATAGAATGTGTCCCCTGCCAAGCCTCCATGGATGAAGAGCTTTGTCCCTGCTGCTACCATCACGTGACCATGCCGGGGAGATGGAGGTTTTCCAAGTGTCTCTGGCTGTGACCACATCAGACTGTCTAGAAAAGTAAATTCATTGACATCAGATGACAAAGCTATGAAACAAGAACACGAGAAATACACCCCAGCCTCACCTCCCAGCAAGGAGAGGTGCTCCAAGCAGAAAGTGACCTTGGGGTCCTTTACTCTGACTTGCCAACTCAATCCAGGCCTCCCCCTCTCTACAGCCTGTACAGCTTCTGCTTGGACACTTCTGGTGCTGGAGAACTCACTGCCTAATACACCTGCCCCTTCTATGGGGCATTAGTAAATCATTTCTTGCTTTGAATTAAAAAAGACCTTCCTTAAGCTTCAACATAGACCTGCCACAGTTAAAAACAATGAATCTGCTTCTTCTAAGGCAGGCTTTCAGAGTGTTCTTTTATTAAGACAATATCATTAAGTAGGCACTGTTGCTATGTCTCTATACAGATTATCAAAGTAAGGCCTAGAGAGATTAAGTAACTAGGCTTAAATAATACAGAAAGTATATGTCATATCTGGTCCTGAGTCCAGGTCATATGACTTCAAAGTTCATGCTTTCACTGACTAAGATCTAACCTTGCTCCTGCAAAAAGCTGCCAAATGGCATGTATAATTTGAGTCCGCGCACGCGCGCGCATGTGTCTGTCTGTGTTTTAAAATAAACCTAAGGGTTCTTTGTTTTGTTCTGTTTTTAAAATTTTATTTATTATTTTTAGAGAATGGGGTGAGGGGGAGGAAGAGAGAGAGAAAAAAACTTTGATGTGTGAAAGAAACATTGATCAGTTGCCTCTCACATACCCCGAACTGGGGACCTGGCCTGAAACCCAGGCATGTGCCTTGACTGGGAATTGAACCAGAGACCTTTTGGTTTGCAGGAGGGTGCCAATCCACTGAGCCACATTAGCCAGGGCTTTAAGTCTTTATATAATTTCAAAATTCATACATGTTAATATACACTTACATGTTTGATTTATAAATGCATAGTAAAGTCTGGAAGGAGAAATCAGGGACTGTCAACAGTGTATACCTCTATCTGAGAAGTGGGAAAGAAAGGCTAAAGGAAGAACTTTTGCTCTTTTACTTTATACACTATACTGTTCAAATTTTTAAAATTGATTATTTATACTTTTTAAATGCAAATTTTGCTGTGGGAAGAAGATAGCTACTAAGGGTTATACTGTAGAAGCCTAGAAGTGAGACTCTCAGCCAGCATGTCATTTTCTAACCTCTGCTTCCTATATCAGGTAAGCGGTGGACCAGGTAAGTGGCAGCCCCGAGGTGCCCACCCATCCATACCTGCATCAAACACGTGAAGCTTCACATCCTGCACGGGCTGGGCGCCTCTCTCCCCACCCCCAAAGACATACAGCTGGTTTCCAATGACTGCCGACGATGTGTGGAATGTTCTCGGGGAAGGTGGAGGGCTGGTCACCTCTGGCGTAGTCCAGATCCTGGTTTCTGTTCCAGAGAGAAGGGAGGCCCTAAAATACCCAGACTGAGGGGACTCTGACCTTGATTCTGGGGCTGGGCAGGGTCACCTTCCAAACCCCAGCCCTGAAGTGGGACAGCGTAGGTGAAGGCAGTGATGTCGTGCCAAAGTCAAGGATAGGTAGGGGGAGATTCTTAGAATTTGCCCAGGTAGACCCAGGTCCCCAAGACTGAAAAGTCACAAGCACAATTAAGAATGAGGTTGATTTGTTTTGGGAGGCCTTCAAACATCCTGCTTGAGCCCTCCTCTGCTTTGCTGACTCTTGCCCCATGCCATTCACAGGAGCCCAACATCTGCTAAAAGTCATTCCCCACTGGATGCTAGAAAGCAAATGTGCCTCATTTCCCAGGATTTGTGGCCATTAAAAGAAAGTAGGCAGTGTTTTTATGGTTTCAGTAGTAGTAATTAGTCCTCAGTAAATAGTAAGTGCTAAATAAATACAGTGTATTAGTTTTCCATTTTACAGATAAAGGAATTAAGCAGAGATATAGGAAGTCACTTACTTAGGGTAACATGGCTAATAAATGGTTGAGCTGGGATTCAAATTCTGTTTCGCTAGCACCAAGATCTAAGTATTGTCCACTTTTCTGACTTGAGAATACAATTTTATCACCTGGGTGAATGTAGAGAAGCTTATTTCTTTTCAGAAGGAAGTGTGAATTTTATAGAAATGGACGCACTAACTGAGCACCTTCCTTGTGCAGAATCATTGCCCAGAGCACTATGCCATCCCCACTGACCTCACTTAACCCTGCGAGGTGGGCAGAAAGTATCTCCACCGTGCAGACAAGCGAACTGAAGTTCAGAAAACTTAAATCTTTTCCCCAGGGCGCAGCGCTTGTGAATAGCAGGGTAGGGGTTTGAACTCACATCTGTCAAGACTGCCACACTCGCTCTACCATAACACACAAGGAATTATTTCTTGCCTGGCAAATTCTGTGCCTTTTGTTAAAGTCTTCGTCCAATATATAAAGTGACCCATGAATCAACTGTAATATGTGTGGGGCTCAGACATGAACCTGAAGACCAGACAAGTCTCAGACTATATACAAAGCCAAATGAATTGTATGGCTGCAAAACTTGGGGAGCTTTCAGATCCCAAGGTCAGGAGATCCTGGGATGGTATTGCTGCCACGCCAAATACCAGCACAAATAACCACAAAGGAATCCTAAGCCATTTGACAGGCTTGCCTTAGCAACAAAAGCAACTAATGATTCACTTTCATTTTTCATATTTCTTGGGCACGGTGTCAAATTATACTTTCTAGGAGAGAAAAAGGATCTGGTATAAAATCAATCCTTTGACAGAGGCTTTACAAATTCTCAGTGTATTTTATTTAAATAATTGCCATCATTGAAAATCAAAAGGCCGGGGTTCCAGCTGAATTTCCATCTGTCAAACAATAGCTACATCAACCACAACAACCATTATTGAATATTAACCTTGTGCCAGATATTGAGTTAATTTAAATCCTTGCCATACTTAACAGTGTAGGAACTATTACTATCCCAAAGTGACACAGAAGACCAACTATTGTGCAAATAATTCTATTGTTGATAGAGGGAACTGGGCAAGGACTGACTTTCATGTGCAAAAATGTCCAAGTTACTAGCGATTAACAAATGCATGTTTAAACATTCAGATACAAGTTGTTTTGTCTAATCAAATTAGCAGTGTTTAAAAATGATAAACTCAATGTCAGTCAGGAGTAAAACAAGCACTATTAAACACAGCTGGAGGTAAGTTGGAAAAATCTTTCTGAAGAGCAATTGGAGAGCACGTACCAAAAGACTTAAAGTTGTGTTTCACTCAGTTGTTTAAAATTTCTGGGCATGAATTCTAAGACAATAACTTGAAATACAATCTTTGTCTTCTGAACAAGGAGGTTCACTGCACTGCTTTGTTATTTATAATGGCAAAAATCCAAAAATAGCCTGTTAAAAAACAAGAATTACAGTATTGCCATAAAATGGAGTGTCAATGCAGCCATTAGAAATGATGTTAACAAAGCACTGTTGTGAATAGGACATCATTTATGCAGTAATTATGAAATTAAAAGGAAAAAGGTGCAATGATGTAGAGGTTAAATAGTATGAGCTAAGCCTTATAAAAATGCAGAGAAAAGACAGAAGGGAAACACACAAATGCTAAAAGCCTTAATATCATAGGATTGTGGGTGGCTTTTGTTCACTTACACTTTTAAAATATTTTAAAATGAATGTAAATTGTATTTATTTATTCACTTTTATTTATTGATTATTTTGAGTGGGAGGACAGAGAGAGAAACATTGATTCGTTGTTCTACTCATTTATGCATTCATTGGTTGATTCTTGTATGTGCCCCAACAGGAAATTGAACCTGCAAGCTTGGTGTATTGTGATGATGTTCTGACCAACTGAACTACCTGGCCAGGACCTGAATTATATTTATTTAAAAAAAAAAAGAGAGAACAAATTTTTAAGTAATAAAAAGATAAGTCCCCTTCCCATCAGCAGTTCAGCAGCATCTGCTCAGTAGTGATGTTCCTAAATTGCCTCCTCTGTGATAAAACTGCCAATGAGACTAGTCAGGACTTTGCACTTTCTGGCTCACAGAAATATACAGGGAGGATCTAGGTCAGGCACTGTTGACATTTTAGGCCAGGTCATTTGTTATTGTGGGGGGCTGTCCTGTGCATTATGGCATATATAGCAGTATCTCCTCCCACCAGATGTTGGTAGTAAACTGCCCTCCGACCTCTCCAAGCTGGGATAACCAAAACTGTTTCCAGATATGGCCAAATGTCCCCTGGGGAGCACAACTGGCACCCTGATCTAAGTCACAGGGTCTAGCCTGGCTCAGCCACTGATTCCCTAGAGACTTTAGGAGAGGCACTCCCCTTGGATGTGGTTGCCTACTTGGCATAGCTGTCCTCTGAAGTCTCTTCCAGCCTTGCCTTTTAAGAAGCTGATAATGGTACATGTTACTAGGAAAACAAAATGTAATTCTGTTATTTTCAGATTCTGCTAGAAGTTACAATTCCTGTTTTCTATGAGGTCAGCAAAGTTCAATGGAAAATTCGGTATAATCCAAATGGGTTTTGCTTCAGGAAATAAAATTGGAATTTTATTTATTTATTTAAGTAAATAAAATAACCTGTGGCTACTTACCAGGATTCAGAACTTGTAGGCAATTCCGATTTCCTGACTGGTTGGCACCTCCAAACACCCAGATGCTGTGAGGTGTGCAAGAGGGAACGAAGCTGGCATGCTCATACCGGGGCAAGAGGCCCTCGGACGTGGCTAAATTCCACTGGTGTGTTCCTGAAAAACATTTCCCCCAGTTTCTAGACTGGGGCTGCCAACTGCTTTGATTGCTTGGCAAACTTGGGGAAGAGTCATGAAGAGAAGACGGTCAAAAGAATAAGTGAACAACAATCAGGTTACTTGAAGGGAATGTGGTCAAACTCCAAAAAGTTCTATATTAGGCACTTATATTAGGGGACTGTCCACAAACCCTCTTCTATGGAAATTGTGCCCATTTTCCCAACCACAAGGGTAAAAGCCGGAAGACCTGTTTGTACTGCAACACCTTGACTTTCTAGCTTTAGCTGATTGGTTCAAGGGTAGCCACTTGACCCCCAAATGGGCCAATCAGACCCTCCCTCCCAAGAGTTTGGAACTGAAACAAATTCTTGGACTTGGGTGGCCATCTTCCACCACCTGTGGAGAGGCAGAGAATGCCAAAGTATGGAGGAGAGAAGAATGAAACATCTACATTAACAAGCAGGTCTCCCCAGACAGAGTTGGGGAGAAAGAAGATTTTTTTTTTATAGTTTTCCAATTCCTGCTTCCCCTCTCTCCTGAGGTTAGGCTGTATTTTCAGCCCTTGGATTCCTCCTTTTTTTTGCAGGTTTAAAAGAGTTCCTGTTACCCAGAGCTGAATGATTTCTGGCTAAAACAAATTCACAGAATAATAATATCTAACTACTAAATAAGTTATTTTAGTTAGTAAACCACTTACAAAGGACCTTCATGGGCCTATCTTGTTGGATCATTACAACTGCTAAGTAAATCAATGTTACAGGATAATGAAGCCCAGATGGTTGAGAAAGGTTAGCAAGAGTCACAAAGCTAATAAGAGGTGACAACAAAGATATAACTGATCTAGAACTAGAAGAGATTTAGTTCACCTTTGATTGTAGTGCAGGGAATAGAAATTCAAATGCCTACACAGGAGTGGAGGGAATGTGGGAAACTGGAGCCCAAGAGCTCCATCAGTAGGTGGCGGCTTATCTCCAAATAACTGTTGTCATGTAGACATATAGGCCTACTGATGTCGTGTCTTTCAAAATTATCAAGAGAAGCCAAACTACTTCAACTTTTATGTAGACTTCTTCACATTTGGTTGTTAAACAACTCAGATTAAAACAATAATAGCAATGTTACATGCACCTAACAAAAGATGTAAGTCACCAGTTTTCTTCTGCCATTGTGGATAGTACATAGTAGTAACTATTTGTTTATCCATCCATCCATCCATCCATCCATCCATCCATCCATCCATCCAAATACTTATAAAGCACCTACTCTGTGTCAGGTGCTATTGTTAGTGGCTGGGGATACAATGATGGGCAATAAAACCATGTTTCCTGTTTCCAAGGAGCTTATACTCTTAAAGGGAAGACAGATGAGAAGCAACTACATGAGATAAGGGCTGTGAAGAAAGATAAGGATGGGAAGGTATGGCATACTATGAAAATATGGAGGGTGGTTTTATCTTGTGATTTCTATTCAGAAATGTATATTTGATCTTTGTCACTTCCAGGCACTGAGCTCCTAAAACCCTCAGATTTTCCTGAATGGTAAGATCTGTAAAGGTGTCTAATATAACAAGCCCCGGTCAATCACACCTGAGTTTATGTTAATGAGATGACTTATGAAAGCCATGAAGGATGAGGCTGGTTGCCAAGGAAACCAACTCTATGATTAGAAGATTGGAACTTTCAGCCCCAGCCCCTGCCTCCACCTCTGCCACCTGTACTTCTGACTGACTGGCTATAAATCAGTTTCCCATGATCCCCTTTCATCAGGTTCAATTAACTTATAAGAGCAAGTCAGAGAACTCAAAAAAACATGCTACTCGATCACCAGTTTATTGTAAAAGGGTATACTAACTCAGGAAAAGCCAAATGGAAGAGATGCGTAGGGCAAGGTACATAGGACCAGCAGTGGTGCTTCCATGCCCTCTCCAGGTGCACCTCTCTCCCCACATTTCCATGTTCACCACCAGAAGCTCTCTGAACCCTGTCCTTTTGGGGTTTTATGAAGGTTTCATTACATAGCCATGATTGACTAGATCACTGGCCACTGGCAATTGATTCAACTTCTGGCCCCTCTCCCCTCCCTATGGGTGTGTGTGAGGAGGGGGGATGTGGGGGAGGGTATTACTGCAAGTTCCAACCCTCTAATCACCACGTTGGGTCTCCTGGTGATGAGCCCACATCCTTAGGCACTTTCCAAAAGTCACTTCATTAATATAAAAGACACTTAGCACTCTCAATATTTAAGAAATTCCAAGGGTTTGGGAGTTGTGATTACTTGGATATGTAGATGGGAGAGGGGATGGAATCATCAGTGTCTCCCAGATAAATATTTAATAAATAAATGGCTGGATGTCCAGAGGTCCATACAAACTCTTTCCCCCAAAACAAGGATGTACTTGTTGGGTGGATGTGTTCCAGGGGTCTGCTGAGATCTTAGGGGTCTCTCAGTGTTTATGTTCTCAGAGGAAAACCCTGCAGTCTGGTCTGAACTGGGGTTCCTAGGAATGCTCTGGTCACAGCCAGCAGCACAAAGCCCTGCTCTCTGGTCATGGGGCACGTGCTCCGCAGCTGCTGGTCTTACCCAGATCCATGGTGTGCACATCTGAGAAGCTCCTGTTTGGATCTGCTCCCCCAACAATGAAGACCTTCCCTCTCTTGGCATCACCAGCTGGGGGTAAATACAAGCAGCTGTGGCCAACCCGAGCACATGGGCTGTCTCCAGCGGGGGTCAAGGTGTACCTGTCAAAAGAAGGATGTGTTCAGGAGGCCTGAGCAGAGAATAAACGCAGCAGTGTGTTTTTTCCATTCCTCATGAAATTTGCATAAGAATAAAGGGTCTTACACAGACACAGACACTTTAAATTGTATCCACAAAACATCATTTCCCTGACTAATAATAACACCCTCCATTTGCACATAAACTTTGACTTTTCAATTTTGTCACTACTTTTATCTTACATTAACCTAACAGTGATGCACTAGGGCAGTAACTGTCCCCATCTGGTAAGGAGAGAAACTGAGGTTCAGAAATTTTCAGTGGTGTGTCTGAGCACAGTTTGTGAATTCAGACAGACCTAGTTCAAGTCACAGTTCAGGTGCTTTCTAGATGTGTGACCTTGTGGAAGTCACGTAACGTTTCTGAACCAAAGTTTCATTATTTGGTTAGGATAGCAATAGTTCCTACCTGTAAAGAGTAAGATGAAGTCTTGTAACAGTGGAGGAAAAAACTCAGTAAATGGTGGCTAGAACTTTGTGTGCAATCACACAGAAACCTATGATCCCAACGCTCCTGCCACTAGCCAGAGATGCTTCCCATTGTCAAGTAATATTTTCCAGGGTTTACTAATTTTAAGAGCTTTTCCAATTACTCCTAAAGTTCGACCCGATGGAAGCCAGAGCTAAGCCTTTGAAAAAGTCAAGTACAGGATCCAGTCATTCCACAGACTAAAGTTATTCTGAATTATGACTGACAAAGTATACTTCAGGCTTCCTGGTTGGAAAGGATAATTCTGCAGCTATTTTTGAGGCCCTGTCTTATCTGACCTCTCTGGTTTCCCCCTCCTTCTTGTACCTTCTCCTTACCTAGCTGTCCCACTCCCTTTCCTTTTGGTTCTCTACCCACTTTTCTGGCTGCTCTTTCTGTTTCCTTCTCTGACTCCTTTCCCTGCCCACCTTCTCCTAACCCTCAGTACCCTTAGATTGTCTTGTCCTCAGTCTCTGTTTGCTTGCCTGATCAATTTTACCTATACTGGGGAGATCTGATTACCACTCATCTATATACAAAGTCTGTCCAGAAAAAGTCCAGTCATTGTTAATATAACAAGAACGGTCTGCGAGACATGGATGTAACCTGCCAGTCAAGGAGAGTAGACTCGAATGCACATGCATGAACAATGACGATTTCACTGTACTAGGCAGTGAGGGCAGTAGATGCCATTCAGTGAGCATGTGTATTGTGTGGCCATCACATTCAAAATAACTGACTTAGCAGAGCAACGAATCTGCATCAAATTTTTCATTAAGTTGAATGTTCCTCCAAGGAGACTATTTGGATGATTCAGAAGGCCGCAGCGATGGGCAACTGATGATTGGCAGCTTCATCACAACAAGGTACCCATTCATGCATCATGTCTCGTGCAGAGTTTTTTGGCGAAACACCAAATCACATAGGTGACTCAACACCCCTACAGCCTAGATTTGGTGGCCTGAGACTTCTGGCTTTTCCCAAAACTAAAATCACCTTTGAAAGGAAAGAGATTTCAGACCACCGATGAGATTCAGGAAAATACTAAGGGGCAGCTGATGGCGATGGGGAGAACTGTGTGAGGTCCCAAGGTGCCTACTTTGAAGGAGTCTGAGGTGTCATTGTCCTAGGTACAATGTTTCTTGTATCTTGTATTTTCTTCAGTAAGTGTCTCTATTTTTCATATTACATGGCTGGATACTAAAATCTCTTTCTTTTCCAGATCTCTCTTCTGAGGTTCAGATTCAGATCCAATTACCACCTGAATAATTGCTAACAATATACCATGCATGCTTTCACCAGTTTCACTTAATCTGCATAAAACCCTTCTGAGGACAGTTCTATTAACATCATCTGAGTTTTACAACTGAGGACCCAAGGCTTAAAAAGGTTAAATAATTACCCAAGAACAAATAGCATCCAGATAGGTAGTGAATAAGATTAAAAAAAAATAATAATTCATGCCTTCAGCGCCCTTAGGAACTAGTTGAGAAGAGAAACGTTAAACAGATAATTTCACAAATATGTTTCAACTGCACCATAAAGGAGTAAAGGGTATACAGTATTAGAACATATCATAGGGGCACCTTATTCTGTAAGGATAGGTGGGGGAGGACAGTCAGAGAAGGCTTCCTGAAGCAGCACCATTTGCACTGAAATCTGATGTATGAGTAGATGCTAGTTGGGCAAAGAGAGGCATGAAAGACAAAGGGAAGGAGTGATCCAGGTAGAGAGACCAGCACAATACAGTTCCTGAGTGGGACAGCGTAAGGCATGTTAAGGAAGCGACAGAGAACAAAGGATGAGTACAGGGATTTGAGGTTGAAAAGACAGCCAGGGACAATCATGCAGGGCCCGGTGGGCCATTTTAAGGACATTCGTAAGGACATCCCTTTTAAGGCCAACAAGGAGGCAGAAAGAGATTTTAAATGAGGGAATGCCATGATCAGGTTTATGCTGTGTAGAGAGCAAGACTGGACACAGGGGAAGCCACACCGAAGACTCTCTTCCAAGGTCCTGCTTCAGCACTGCCCCCTTTCTACAGCCTTGTGTGGGCCCTGCTTCGGCACCGGTCACATTTCATCACCATCACCTGCTTCGTCCGTCCGTCCGTAGCCCCAACCACAGTGATACTATTCACCTTTGTATGCTCGGCACCTACACAGCAGCTGCCCCTGTCAGGTCGGTGTTAATTGTTGAATGAAGGGTTGACTGAGCAAGCAGCCAAGAAACAGTGAAGCCAGTTTAATGCAAATCTTATTCCCTGAAAATCTTAAAAATGAGTCTCAGCTTGTAGGGGGAAGACATTGTTGAAGCTGAGGATGCCAGATGGCCGGTGCCTTCCTCTTTCTGGTAAATGGATTTTAATAAAATCAACATCTGCTCTGATAATTGTTGCCCTGCTATCTTTCCTCTGAAGACCTTCTCAGACAGTTTGAGTCTAATTACCAGAAACTGCAAACAGTTTCATCTCTCCCCTTTTTCATAGATGTGTAAGTATGTTAGTAAACTACTTATAAATGAAGCAAAAACTTATGTTTTTTTCCATCTGAATCCTTCTTTACAAACCATGTTGCTTTCCTGGGCTTGTCTCCAGGCTCCAAGACTGGCAGCTGCTTCATGGTGTCCTACATACAAGAAAGAAAGGCACTTTTTAGACATTTATGATTATCTTCTACCTAGAACACAGAACAAATTAGGTTACTGCCCTCATTAAAACCTTACCTGTTGATATACCAATTTCTAGGACCTGATGGATTTGAATAAGCATTACCAACCTTTGGATATGTTATATTGGGGAGGCAAATATAACACAACTTTCTTAACACAATTACAAAAGTGTTTTGGCTAAAGTTTTCTGTGTACCTGTAATTTTCATGGTGAAGTGGCGTATATCAAAATAAATTCTCAGAGGTCACGCTTATGTTTATCAAAAGATAAAACCCTTTAGGCCCTGGCTGGCGTGGCTCAGTGGATTGCGTGCCGGCCTGTGAACCGAAGGGCTGCCAGTTCCATTCCCAGTGAGGGCACACGCCTGCGTTGCAGGCCAGGTCCCCAGTGCAGGGTGTGGGAGAGGCAACTGATTATGTATCCCTCACACATCGATGTTTCTCTCCCTCTTTCTCCCTCCCTTTCCCTCTCTGTAAACATAAATAAATGCAACCTTCACAAAAAAATATAACACCTTTTAAAAGGCAGAGAAATACTGAACTCCAGGATAAATCCTGGCCTTATCATCACATTAAAAGATTTCTGGTCTCAATCTTCTTTTCAGGAACTTACTTCCAGTTTCTTGCTATAGTCGTTCTTGCTATATTTATTGTTCCTCTAACATGTCAAGCCCTTTTATAACTTTCATTCCCTGCTGCTTCCCCTGCCTGAAATGTTCCTTCCCTTCCTGCCAACTAGCAAACTCCTAGTCAGCCTCCACAGCTCCTTTCCAATGAACCATCCTTGGTTAACATCCTCAAATTACTTTCTTCTCCCTCAGAAGGTATCTATTATGCCACCATCATTACAGAGATCATCCTGAGTATAATTAGCCAGGCTAAAGTTTCTAGACTAGAATCTAGACTAACTTCCACTAGACTCAATTCCAAGCGAGCTAGGCCTGTAGGATTCCTTCAGAGAAGCTACCTATAGCCTGGGCAGAGTAGAAGCGAGGGATGACTGAATGAAGAAAATGAGTAAGATTTCTGGGAAATGAATGGATAAATCCAACCTTGGCCTAAGCCACTGACTACTGTCCGCAAAGCCTAAAAGCTCAGTGGGATAAACTTCGCGTGGGCGGAGATACCCCTCTGTGCCATCCCCGCGTGGCAACGACAGGGGGTGGGAGACACGGTCAGGAGAGAACACGCAGGCTCATTTCGGTCCATGTGCCCGGGCCAAAGCCGAAGGAGGGCCTCCCCATCCGACCGAGGCCCACTCCCCAAAAGGATACGGCCACCCCCGTCCCAGGCCCGCGTCGGGTGACCCCCAGCCCCAGACCGCATTACCTGCGGCGGCTTAGGCCAGTCCCGGGCCGTGGCTCCGCCCCTGGTGGGGCGGGGCTTGGGCCTCGGCTCCGTCCTAGACCCGGAAGAGCGAGACAGCCAACCGCTCCCCTCCTCCCTGGCTTCCAGGGATCGCCCTTAAAGAGGTCGGGAAGGGGGTCTGCGAGCCTGGGGTGCACTTTCGGGGAACCAGATAGGTCGGCCGTTCTCGGGGTCTAACCTGCCCGCGGAGTCAATAAACCCGGGCTGCAGGGAAAGGATTTACCAGAGAAATGCCGGGGGTTGGGTGTCTACTAGATTGACCCAATTCTGGGTTATCTAAAAGGGGCTAGGATGTTTTCAGTTCCAGCGGCTGTTAGAATGGTTTCTGAAAGGGAAAAATCTCCCTGTTCAGTCTTTAGGCCAATTCAGGCTTTGGCGCCTTAAACGGCTGACTCATTCCAGAATCAGACGTGTAACTATGTCAGGCACTATGGTGAACCAGACAAACAAGGGTCCTGGCCTCCTGAATGGAGTTCACAGTCGAACTAGAGAGATTAAACAGGAAAATAACTAGGCACATTTGTAAAAAAAAAAGTGCAAGAAATAAAAAATTCATCAAAGCATCTGTTCTTGGGGAAGTGACTTTTCTTTGGGCCTCAGTGCCACCCCTGTAAGATGGAGCTAAGATTTGTCACAAGGTTCTGATGGGGAATACATGAGCTAATGTATACGAAGTGCTCAGTGCCCAGCTGCTGGTGCAGAGCTGCTCCTCTGTGAAGTGTAATGCTATGCTTCGCTATTCACCAACTCTAGGCACCAGTCCTGAGTGGGAAGTGTTCATGTGCGTTATTCCTGGTCTCCATAGGTTCTCTGTAGCTTTCCTCAAAATGAAGAGGTGGCTCACCTATGTCTGTGTTTTAGAGAACCCCACAATCTCTTAGGAAGGCTGAGGCCAGTAACCTAGGAAATACAGGAAACAGCTGAGGAAGGAAAGGGGCGCTCTGAAGTACAGAGGTATGGTAACATAGTGGGAAGAAGACAGACACACTTGACTTCAAATATGGACTCCAACACTAACCATCTAACCCTGACATTTGGCAAGTTCTTACCTTCTCCCAGCCCTAGTTTCCTCATCTCTACCACAGGAATAGAAATACCTACCTTACAGAGGGAGCAGTTGAGAGGATTGGATAGTACAGGTGAAAAACCAACTTGGTCAATGTTTTAGCAACTTGAAACCATAATGAAAATGTATTGATTCATGAAGTGGAGTCTGAGGTTTGCAGCTCTCCTCACTGTTCAAATTTCCTATTTCAAACACCTGGAGTCTTTGTGAATTCCCATATTAATGAGAAAACCTCCACTGAATGTCTGCCAAAGAGGAGTTTAGGAGTATTCAGTTCTTCTCTCCTTCCTCAAAGACACCCAAGGCCAGGTTGCCTCTGCTGTATGTCTGTGTGCTTGTAGACAGAGATTTCTGCTCAGAGCTGCAGAAAGCTGTGACATCCCATGTCTTTTGGCTAAATCCATTTCAAGGTGCCATGCTGGAGTTGCGCATAAAAATTAGAGGAGGTTTGTGAGCAAAAGAGCAACCAGTTTTAATTAAAAGACTTAGGCTTTTAGACTACAAATCACATTCAGAAGGTGCTGGAAATAGCTTTTGAGGTCTACATTTATAATGGAAATCAAGGCGTAGAGAAATTAAAATGACTAACACATAAATGGCAAAACCAGGAGTCTGTATCTTCTGCTTTGTGCAAGGCAGACTGATAACATATTCCAGTTAGCAAACTCTGCACAGTCTTTGTAACAGATCACCCAATGTGTCTATCAACTCTTCGGAGAACTCACCCAGTACTCAGGGATGGTTCCTTCTCTTTGCTCTGGATGTCAACAGTGACATTCATCAAATGAGGGGGTTCTGCAGGATGGAGCTTCTTACTGCCAGCTGTTTTGGTAATGTGAGGACTGCCACCTGTTTTCACTGGTAGGGGTTACCGTCTGCTTTCATTACCTATCTGTTCACTGACTCATCAGCAAGGAAAGTAATGATGCTCGTGACAACTTGCTTTCAAGCATTTTATTTGTCCTCCTTCCCAATTTTGAGAAAGTATTTTGAGTAGGACTCATTCCCAGTTACTGAGGTTCAGAGATTAAAAAGTGATTTGCTAGCTTTCCAAAGAGGACTATAATTTTTAAAAAATGTCAAACAAGAGTAGCATCTTTTCTTCACTTGGATTTTTTTTTTCCTCCAAGAAACCCTGAGCATATTCTCCCTCTAAAGTCTTCAATTTTACTTCTTCAGAAAGACCTTGTTTGGCCCACCCAATACTGAGGACTAACATGTTGCACTCACTCTGTACATGACATTGTTTTAAGCCCTTTCCATATATTAATTCTACTAAAATTCAGTACAAGCCCTTAAGGTAAGTATTATTCTTATCATCTTCATAGGAGTTAGGTACTGTTATTACAGCTTCCATATTGGAGCTAATAAATTACTGCACAGAAAGGATCAATAACTTTGCCAATGTCACATGGTTAGTAATAGATTTGAACTCTGGCTATTTGGTGCTAGAGTCTGCATGCTTTACCTCCACTATATTGCCAACCTAAAGTAGGGCTCTTCCCTATTTTTTAACTCACAGTTCCACCTCTTTCCCTTTTTAGCACTAATCACACTTTGCATCTAATCATTTTTTTCATTTATATGTTTATTGTTTGTCTCCCCTATCAGACTGTAAGCCCCATGAGGGCAGGGATCATATTGTTCTTACTCACATCACAGGTACTATATAACTATTTGTTGAATGAATTAAGAAATGTACGCTTGTGGGCACCATTCATTCTACAACAAACTTTTATGAATTAATTTTACTTTGAAACACTTTCATGCTTACAGAACAGTTGCAAGAATAATACAAAGAACACCCAGAGACCTCATTAAATTTTAGCCAAATGTCCCCAAAATACACTTTAGGGCAAGAGGATCCAGTCCAAGGCCACTTGAACAACAAATATATATTGAGAACTTGATACTATTTGCTTATAAGACTCCTAATTGATCTCTCAGCTGCAACCATTTCCTCCTAGTCTCATACAGCACCAGATCCTTCCAAAATAAGTTAGATCATATGACTCCTTTTGCTCAAAACCCTGCAGCTTCTCTGTTATATTAAAAGTAAAAATCAGGAAAAGAAGAAAGTGTTCTTTTCTCTTATCTCCTCTCCTATTCCTCTCACCTTGCTCTAACCACGCCAATCTTCTCGCGATTTCCAAGATTCTAGATATGCTTCCCACTTAGGGCCTCTGCATCAGCTCCTTCTTACAACTTCCCTCTAGTGCCTGCATAACCTCCGACCTCTATGTTGGTCCTTTAAAATGCATCTCCCTTATCCTGTTGGGTTCCTTACCCCCACCACCTAATGCAAAAACCCATAGGGTTAATAATGCTACCAAAAGATGTCTGGTTAGTTTTCCATGAACTGGGTACCATTGTTGGTTCTATCTTTGTTTCCTAAAAAGCACCTAACAGAAAGAAGCCACAAAGGACTCAGATGAGCATGAAAGCTACATTTCCACTAATATTGGCTTTGTCCTCATGTTAATTAAATTATCCCACGAAGAAGGAGAAAATGCACAAGACTGACTCCCCTATTATATAGCACATATAATTCACCTATAAGTAAAAACAAGTTACATTTACAAATAGCTCCTTTGCTTTCCACATACTTTAGTTATTTATTGTTTATGTTCTGTCTCCTCTACTAAAATGTTAGCTATTGGTTGAGGATAGAGATCTTTATCTATTTGGTTTGCTGAATATCCCAAGTGACTACAACTGTACCTGGCACATAACTGGTGTTCAATAAAAGCTGTTAAACGAACTGAATGTTGAGAATATACTAAGTGCCAGGTCCTGTTCTTGGCGCTGAAGGTGCAAGAAAAACTCCCTGACCTGATGAGACTCACACCAAAATGTACTTAAACCCGCTAGACCCGTGTTCCTATATAGGCTCCTTCCACCTATTTCCTTTGAGATTTGGGGCAAGTTACTTAACCCCTCTGAGCACTGCTTTTCTATTAGTCGTTATGAGAATTAAACAGAAAAACAGCATTTATATAGCATTTAGCATAATAACGCTTTACTATGTCCCTCCCTTCCAGCCTGAAAGACTGGTAGCCTGACTTCTCTGCCACAGATTTAGGCAAGGTTTCGCAAGGCCTAGGAGAGGTGCAAACAGGTTACTAAGGCCAGGCTTACCTAATTTTTAACTGAAGGTGTTGGGGTGACAATGTTTAAATGGGTCGAAGTGAGAAACCAGCGAACAGCTAGGGCCACCCACTGCGCCGTTTGGGTCGTAAAACCCTCTCTGGGTCCTCAGAGCTGTACGTCTGGACGAAGGAAACGAGGGGGAAAAAAAAAAAAAAGAGTACCTGGCCGCTACTCAAAACTATAAATCCCAGCCCTCCCCGCGGCAAATAACTACGGGTCCCAGCAGGTTTCATTGTCTGGACCGAAGGGTACCCCTCCGGGCCTGCAGCCTGAGTTCAGCGGGAGAAGGCGAGGGGCGTGCCGAGGCAGCGGGGAGACTCGGGTCAAGCTCTACGCCGCTGCGCAGACGCCTCTCATGGGCCGGACGTGACGTAGGAAGAGTTCCGGCTTCGGCCTCTGCCGCTGCCGCTGCCGCCGCTACTTCAGCCGCCGCCGCCGCCGTCGGGGCTTGTTATTTCTAAAATGGCGCCCCTAGACTTGGACAAGTATGTGGAGATAGCGCGGCTGTGCAAGTACCTTCCGGAGAACGACTTGAAGGTGAGCTCGGTCGGGGCGGGAGCGCTGCAGGCGGGGCTCGCCCCTTCCGGCAGTGGGGCGCCCGCCGGCCCGCCCTTCTGGACGCCGGACCCCCGCCAGCATCCCGTCCGGTCATGGTGGAGGGCCTGACGCGGTGCCAAGCGACCCGGTCCGCTTTGGCGTCGCGCGGAGAGCGAGGGGAGCGGGAGGAGCGAGAGTCCGCCGAAGGCTGTCCCGGTGCCGTAGCGGGTAACCCGGGGGATGTTGCGGCCTCTGCCCCAGGGTTACCCCTCTTGGCCTTCGGCTGCCTCAGGGCTCCGAGCCCTAACAGCTGTGCATAGCAGACCCATCTCCCCGAACCCCGGCCCCGGCCTCGGCCTTTCGGAGTCCGAACCGAGTCCCAGCGGGCCGTGCCCTCGGCGTGGGGTCATCCTCCAGAGGTGGTGACAGGAGCGCCGGGTGGCCGGCGTCTGACAGGAGATGCCGCGGCCCCGCGAACGCGGCCGCGGTGAGTTGAGATCCGCGAGGACGGGACTGAGCAGCCAGTGGGCTAGAGCCGCTGGGGCGAGATGGAAGAGGAGGGCTGTCCAGGCGTCTGTCTGTCCCTCCACTTCTCCCAATTGCTCCTCAGGAGTGTTGGTTTCCTGCTGCCCATTCAGATAGGAGTCCCGTTTTCGAGGGCGCTGTGGAGCCCATGTAAGTGGATGACTTAGGAGTCCCTCCGTAAATACAAATACTTTTCTGTCCTTTAAGTTGTTCCCCCATGATCGCTTCGTAAGTCAGGATGGCCTCTCCTTGGTTTCCTAAAGGAGGTGGGTTGTTTTTCGTTACTGCCGAATCCAAGTAACTGTGTGTGTGTGTGTGTGTGTGTGTGTGTGTGTGTGTGTGTGTGTATCTGTGTCTCTCGAAGGGAAGAATGTCAGCCTTTGACAAGTCTTTCTCTTTTTAACGCGTTTGTTAAGCCGGTGCTGAGGTGTCTAGCGGTGTTTCGCGGTAAGTGCTGCTGTTTGTTTTATTTGTCCAGTTAACTTTGATTTGCTGTGAGTAGACTGTCACTAGCTCGTGCATTTTTTTTGGGTATTCTTTAAGCTGTGGGTTTCAAGCAATTTATCTTTGTCCGTGAATTTTTTTCTCTTAAGGAAGATGTTACTGGGTTGTTTTTTTTTGTCTTTTGCTATCTCTTTTGATACAGGAAGTTGGTATTTAACGACGGTCAAATAGTATGCAAAATGTTGAAAGCTAGAGGAGCTGTTGTGAATGCAACTTGTTTTTACTTATAGGTGAATTATATGTGCTATGTGGTAGGGGAGTTATTCTTGTGCCTTTCCCCCTTCTTCGTGGTATAATTTAATTAACATGAGGACGAAGCCAATATTAGTGGAAATGTAGCTTTCATGTTCATCTGAGTCCTTTGTGGCTTCTTTCTGTGAGGTGCCTTTTTTTAGAAAAGAAAGATGTGGCCAACACTGGTACCCAGTTCATGGAAAACTAACCAGACATCTTTTGGTAGCATTATTAATCCTGTGGGTGAGGTGGGTTTTTGCATATCAGTGAACCATGGTGCAATTTTCTGTTCTTTAGTATATGTAAAGCTGTTCTAAGCTTTACGTTTTATAATTAGTAGAATGTTGCTTGTTATGAAAATGTATCTTGATACTAACTTGAAATTGCATGTTGAAATGAATAGGATATAATCGCTTAGATTTTCTTTAGATCTCCTAGTTCAATAAACATTAGATTTCCTTCCTACTTCAAGGAAATATAGTTATTAAACCATTTCATTTCCCCTTGTAGCACAATTGGACAGAATTTAGCGTGTATCTGTTTCTCTCTCTTTTTTAAAGATTTTATTTTTAGAGTGAGGAGTAGGGGGAGAGGGAGAGAAACATTGCCGTTGGAGAGAAACATCATTCAGTTGCCTCTCACACACCCTCAACTGGGGACTGGCCAGCACCCAGGCGTGTGTCCTGACCAGGAAGAGAACTGGTGACCTTTTCTTCGTCCCCAGTCCGACGCTCAGTCCACTGAGCCACATCAGCCAGGGCATGTATCTGTTTCTTAATAAACTTTTTAAAAATCTCCTGGGCAACTGCTGGGGAAAATTATGAATTTTTCTTTTAAGTGGAATTTTTTTTTGGTCTTGATACTGTTTTTATCACATTAATTTGCGTGTGATTTAATTTGCTCATCTCAGGCATATTTAAAGAAATTTAATTTTGTTTCTACTTCTTGGCATGAAGTGCAAACTAAAATTAGGCAGGCCAGGAAAGTATTCCAGGAGCACCTTTTCAGAGGCTTTAAAGTCAAAATAAAAGATTCTGTCAGAGGAAGAAAAGAAAGAAAGAAATCATTGGGGCCACTTAATGATCACTATGGAAAATATTTGATCTGGTAGAAAAGACAAATTCACTGTATTTTAAACTGACTAGAAGTTGGAGATACTAAATAAAGTAATAAATGCATAGGATGTTCTAGATCTAATTATGATTTCTCTATACCTAAATTGGAAGCAGTCATATCACTAGTACTGGGTCAAGTGTACATAACTGTTTTGAAGGAATGGGATGAAATGTAAAAGTGAATGGATGAAAACATAACCTTAAAGAAGAGGTCATTTGATTCACATCAACCATAAAGATTTCAACGCTGATCACAGAAGATACAGATTCCATATCTAGCTAAGTGGAAGAATAAATGATAAAAGACAGAGACTATTCAGATGTACCAAATAAATTTAAGTCTTGGGTTGGTCAAAAAGTTCATTTAGTTTTTACTGTACAATGGCTCTAGTAGTGCTTAGTTGTTTTTAACTTCATTTGAAACAATTTTGTTAGTTTGTATTGTGACAGCTGCTATATCAGCATCCATTTTTTAAGAAAAACATCAAAATTGGTGAATTTTTGTGCAGCCATTTTAATATTGAAGATGGAAGAAGATGTGCAACATTTTAGGTGTATTTTGCTTTATTATTTCAAGAATGGTAAAAATGCAACTGAAATGCAAAAAAAGATTTGTGTACCATATGGAGAAGGTGCTATGACTGATCAAATGTGTCAAAAGTGGTTTATGAACTTTCTTGGCACTATTGACGTTTTGGCCAAATAATTCTTTGCTGTGGGCTGTTTTATGCATTGGAAGATGTTTGGCAGCATCCCTGGCATCTACCCACTAGAAACCAATAGCAGGAGATAGTTGACATACTCAAAATATTCAAAGCAATAAAATTATTGGTGAAAATGAAAATGTCTCTTTTATTTAACGAAAAAAAAGTAACACACTTTTTGGCCAACCCAGTACTTAAGCGGGTGATGGGTTCTATAGCTTGGAGGTTATTGAATGATTTTTAAAGGAGACATTGAAACAAAGAAATTGCACATTGAGTTGGTGTTCACTTTTTTACTGAGGAACTGAAGACAGTTACCATGGTAGGGGTTGGGATAATACTAGTGTCTTTCTCAGAGATGCAACATGAAGAATTGTGTAATTTCTTAGTAACTGCTTTTATGGGTTAATAGTTGATGTAATCTTTTTAGAACTCAGTTTTATGTTTAGTCTGGGCCATCCCTGAGTTTTCCATATAAGACTACCTACTTTGCAAAGTTGCACCTCTGTATGAAATGCCTCCACAAAGTTTCAGGGAATTTTTTTCTCCAACATTTGAACAGCCTTTTGTACCTTTTTATTCAGCCTCTATCTCATTTTATAGATTATCATCATATATTGTAGTCTTTATCCTTCCATGCTTGTATCTGTCCATACATATTTGTCACTCACCTTATTGCCTATATTATTGATTATTCTGTTTACCAGAGGTGTTTGTTTTGCATGGTATCTATCTTCGGTAATGCAAAGAGAACTAAACACAGTAGAGGACTTAAGCACGCACCATGGCTTTATATAGGGCCAGAAGAGTGTATTTTCTGTACACTCTGTATTTACAAGACTCTTTCTCATAATGCCCTGCATTTTGTTTGTTCCTTTGGCCACAGAATTACATTCTCCTGTCTATTCTGAAAATAGACTGTAACGGTGCTGTCTAGTAGAAATAAAATGCTCAGAAATGTGAGTCTCAAAATACATTTTAAAAATAGTAAAAAAGAAACAGGTGAAATTAATTTTAGTAATTTTAACCTTATTTCAATGTGTAATATAAAGTTAGTAATGTAATAGTTTCCCTTTTTTGTACTAAGTCTATGAAATAAGGTGAGTATTTTACATTTATGACATATCCCAATTCAGACGAGTCACATTTAATGTACTCGGTAGCTACATGTCACTGTAGGTATTGGACGGGACAGTGCATACCTCTAAAAACTCCCCAATCCATTCCTAGAATTGCAGAGCAGAGAGTGAATCAGAGTTCATGTAGTTTTGTACCATTCTCACTTTACTGGGGGGGAATCCGAGCTTTGTAGAGTTTATGATCTGCCTGAGGATGTCCAACTAATCAGTGAATTAGGTTGGAAAGCCTCCTTGCAGAGCTCTTTCTCATACAATTAGTAGTATTTTTAGGATGGCAAATAGCTTGCTTTCCTAGGTGTGTTTTCCACTTCATCACTTTTTTTTTTACATTCCATTCTAAGCACATTGGACTATTGTCTTCTGACCACATGCCCTGTACTTCCCTGCATCTTTGCTTCTGTTCAGTCTATTTCCGTCATCTACTTGGTCCATATATAGCATGAACATAAATTATTTAATACTCAGTGAGTTGGTTACTGATATTTGCGTTGCTTTACAAACAGATAACTGAAGCACATACAGATTAAGTAACTTTCCAAACTCATACAGCTAGTAAATAAGTAGAGGAGCTGGGATTCAAACCTAGGCAAGTCTGGCTCCAGGGTCCTTGTCCTTAACTACCACTGATGCTTCCTCTATGCAATATTGTCCATGCCTCTTTGGAGCTTTAGCTCCGACGCTTAGATTAGGATTTACATAGCTACTTACAGTTTTCTGAGCACCTTTATGTCCATTCTATTATTTACACAGTCCTTGTGATAGACAGAGTAGATGAACTG